ATGCGTTTGATGCAGTGTGTTTTGCTACATGTCTGTCCAAATTAGCTTTCTGCACAGCAGAATAGCTACACTGGTCACGCTTGTAGGGTTTTTTCTCCTGTGTGGGTGCTCATATGTTGGGATAAGTAAGACTTTTCAGCTGTCCTGTACCCACACTCCCCACACATGTAGGGTTTCTCACCGGTGTGTTTTCGTACATGTCTGTCCAACTTGGATTTCTCTGCTGCAGAATAGTCACACTGGTCACACTTGTAGGGTTTTTCTCCTGTATGGGTTCTCATATGTCGGGATAAGGCTGACTTGTAAGTTGTCCTGTACCCACACTCCCCACACATGTAGGGTTTCTCACCGGTGTGATTTGCAAGATGCTGGTCCAAATTAGCTTTCCGTGCAGAAGAATAGCCACATTGGTCACACTTGTAGGATTTTTCGCCTGTATGGGTTCTCATATGCTGAGATAAGTGAGACTTTTTAGCTGTCCTGTATCCACACTCCCCACACATGTAGGGTTTCTCACCAGCGTTATTCAAGTTGACAAGCTGAAAAAATCCAATGGGAGACCCATCACAGCAGTTCTGACCAACTCCGGTGGGAGACCCTTGTTCTGCCGTTGCCATGTTCACCCTAATGTCAAAATGAAGAAGTTGTACTTAATTCTACAAATTAAGCGTTAAAAGCTGTCAATGATAAAGTTGGGTTCTTACAAAACAAGTTTTAAAGAGTTCTAATTTGACTAAGCTTTACAATTTCAACCTATCCTCTACCAGGCTTTGGGAGGCGACTGCAAAGAGTAGAAATCGGCCAAAATTTTTGTAATGTACGCCTTATGCGATTCTTTACAATCCAGTTAACATTTCTATGTTATTCCACGCCCTCAAAAAAAGGTCACTATGCCTGATGCAGCATGACTTACATGTAAGTAGTGAGGGTCGAACTTATGTTAGGTTTCGCCCCCCTCCCCCTTTACTTCAACGATATTCACATCCCGAAAATGCCTACAAATTATCATCCTACTGCGGTTCTTCTTCCACAGAAATGGGCGCAAACTATTCCCCTCAACATCAGAATACTTTTCTGCCCGTTTCTAAGCCTTACCTGCTTCCTATGACGGTTTTTCTCTTCACGTAAACCGGAACTCGGGCAGCTTTGTCCTTCTGTGAGGTCTCGCGAGGTCAGAGGTGACTAGGTTGGGTTCAAAGGTGAAGTTGTGTGCCTGATTACCCATGTAGTGCATTTGACGTCTGTTTGAACGTTACGCTTTCCTCATAATGTCAACGTTCTTCGTATAAAACAGACCATTAAACAACGTACACGGCGGTCTGTCACTACGGCATTCTTTCCCATTCTGGGGGCGTTCGATAAAGTATCGGGTTACAAGACGCAATTTTGGGCTAACCGTAAAACATTTGAAAATAAACAAACTAGTATCGAAGGGAAAATTTCGTTCAAATAAAATAAAATTATCGTCTTTACATACATTTAATGGTGTTTTTTGCGCTAAATGGATGATTTTTTCGGATTTCGTTAAAAAAGTAGATAATTTATAGAATTTTGGTGCGTCATAATTTAGCCAATCACCGAGCAAACCTGGCTACACATATTACGCAAGGTCACTGATTTTTATATTTTTCGACGACCAGGAATAAGATGAAAAATCGTGCTTTTGGGATTTTTTAATTTTTGACTTAAAGTATAGTTTTTGTCGACAAATAGGTGAAAAAATCGATTTTTTTTTGCTTTTTTCGCACTTAATTACCCATAATTCAAAATCAAGAGTATTTTTCAAAAATCCCAAAAGCACGATTTTCGGGACAACCATGGCAGTCATTTTGAGCCGTAAATGGGGTATGTTTGACTCTCCATGCTTCCAGGTTTGAACGAGTTTTGCAGACATGTCATATCTCCCAAAAGTGTGCACCGTGTTATTCATAAAGGTGTAAAGAATCCTTACAGTATTCAAGGTCACCCAAGGATACGACAGTAGCTTCGCTACATGTTACATGTCAACAAAAAAATGTTAGCGGATGTGTACTGTCCTGGAAACTGTTCGTATCTATAGAAAATTGTTGTTTTTTATCTGTTGCGAGGCACTCAGGCAGAAGGGCTTGTTTTGCCGCTTTATTGCAAATGACCGCAGGTGACCCCGAAATGGAACGCGGGTTCGATTCGAATTGCCCAGATCGAACACGATCGAACACAGTTCGGATTCTATGAAATGTGGGAATTTTGCAGTCCAGATTTTACCACCGTGGTAACACACGTCTAACAACACTTCTGACAACCGTTGTTTCGTGAGGTCAAAGGTGAACGCTATCTGGGTCAAAGGTAAAATTGTAGACCTGATTACCCATGTAGTACATTTGATTTGACATCAGGTGGCACGTTACGTTTTAGTTTCACATAATATCAGCGTTTTACACTTCAAACAGACCAGCTAAACACCAAAAGGGAAAAATTACTAAAGAAATTAATGTCAAGCCAAACTGTTTGGTCTGAATCTTGATGTCTGTGTTTTATGATCAACACACCACCTCGGACAACATTCCAAGGTAAGGAAGCAACACAGGAACAAGGAAACATTATGTTCAAGGTACATAGCGATTTAATTATTTCAGTGCAAAATATATGTAGATACATCTTCGGAAAAAAACACACAAACCAAACAAGAACTTTTACTCGTAAAGTCTCGTATACAACATAACGCCCACGTTTTTACAATTGTGAAAATTACTAATGTTGGAAACTGAAGCGAACCGAATGCTAGTTTACAGAGTTGATATTTTAGTGAATATACTATTTGTTGTACATATAGGCACGCACTTCGTCAAAGTAACTATTAACAAGAAATCGAAGCTCCTTCATACTATTTCAACAACTACATTTCATCTATTGTCTACAATCACTTACCTATGTTAAGTACTGATTATATGTATATGTACATTATCTAATAAATACTTTCAACTTAAATGTTCTTCTGCTTCAGTTCTAAATAACTAAAAATATGATTTCTGTTCTAAACAATTTGATTAAAAGAACAAAAGTGTGCATTACGCTTCTAAGAAATATTCTTGTAACTGAACCTTGGGTAATCAGAACGCAGTGGATGCAGTTAAAAGTACATGACAATGACGTTTCATAGGGAGAAGGTTTTCCCATTTTGCAAATTTTGTTAACTTTTACAAACTATTTCGCCTATTTTTTAAATAGAAGAAGATAATGAACACTATTGCAATATATACTTAATC